CGAAGGTTTCCATGACTTCCACGGAACGGCTTTAGTGGCCTACACTGGGGAAATTTATGAAGATTTTAACAGAGCTGTTACAGAATTCAAGAAAAATCCTTATAAAAGACCTTCCATTACTACTTAACAAGAGTTCTTCAACTTCTGAGTAACAATAAGTGTTACAATGTTTACCATGGCATCAATAAGAAATTACGGTGAGGAGGGCTCTGTACGATATGGGCAGTTCGCTTCCTCATCTTTGGTAGAGAGAGTAGCTCTTTATGGTTTTGGTCATGCTAGTGGGACATTGTTTATCATCAAAACCTGCTTGGGGGTTTATATAAAAGCATTTTTTTCACAAACCTGAATGAGATGAGATGTTAATTTCAGGATAGGAAGGATATCACAATTACACCGTAACAGCAAGTGGAAAAGGGTATAACAAAACTTCTCTGCACTCCCCTGAAAGAGAGAAGAGCAACTTCAATTGCTTCTATTGTGGTTCTACTGACAACAGTCATTTCAGCAGCTCAGGTGAGTATGGTTCTGTGTTAGAGGTGGAGCTTGTGGGAACATCATGAAATGGAAGAGGAGGTGCTCCCTACCAGAAGACACCTGGTGGTAGACCATGCACATGGTGAGGGTGCCTAGAAGGATGAAGGGTAGCTTTGGTAAAGCCAAGGAGTACATACTTCAGTGAAGGTATATCAGAAATGGTTGAACACAGTGAGGAACTTCAGGAAAATGCTATTACCAGGTCCAGCCCTGTGAGGAGTGAGGAGTGCTATCAGTGGGTATTTATTCATAATTTCAAACCAATGCTGGCCCATGTTGGGGATCTTTATGGCTGTATATCCATCATTATGTGTGGCCTGAGTTCTCTCTTCATCCCTTGACCACATATCTCATTCTATGCAAGCAAAGACACCGTCAATTTTAGTTTGATAATTACCTTTCAAGGCATAGTTCAAGTATCACTTATCGTAGAAATCCATCCTTAATACTTCTAGAGAAAATTACTGTATCATACTCTCTGTCATAGTTCTGGAGTCAGACTCCATAGTAATCTGGTTCAAACATCACTAGCTCTGTAATTCTTGGCATCTTGCCAGATATCTGTGCATCAGTTTCCCAATTTGAACCATAAAGACCCAAATGACAAATATTCTAGTAGTATTGTTTTGAAATTAGAAGAGAGTCATTCAAGATGTATTATTTGGCATGTAGATATCAATCCACAAATGCCTTTATTTTTAAATTTGAAAAACCATGTACAAATCTCAGTAATCTGATCCAAACTCATACAGGTGTGGGTCTCAACATTCACAAGAAAATCACTTGTTTACAGTCTAGAGACCTTGTCTCCTATGCCCACCACTCAGGATTTACACAGTGTCTGGATTACTTACTTATATCCAGGCTCCACTAAATGTTGTCTTAGGAAGCTAAGTTTGAGTGAGAGGCCAGGGAGAACCTGAAATGAGCTACAGTTAGACTACTGAGTACAGAGCAATCTTAGATCTAATTAGTCCTGACACTTTAGGGTGTCTGGAAACATGGGAAGTCTTTGGAGCAGGAAGTGGAACCATAGAAGTGATCACAGGGACATCATGCATTTGCACAGAGAGATTTTGAATTTTTATCAAGCCCAAGGAAAGCATGACCCCTACTCAGGTCCACATTACGGTCAGAAAGATGCTGCCCTTCTGGGCCAAATGGTTGATGTCCAGTCCTGGCACGCTGAGAACCTCAGGTAGGTTCTAGTTCAAAACAATTTGCACACAAAAAATACAAATTGCTGCAACAATGGACTTTCAGAAGGTTCAGACCCAGAAACCTCTTCTTAGGTGTAGAAGGAGAAGCCTGTCGGGCTCTCTAAGAAGGTCAGGAAGACTCTGGATAGAAAGGTTTTTATTCCCAGTCAGTGCCTTAGAGCACAGGACCCTGGAAGTGGTGGGGATCCATCAGTTTGCTCACTTCCTGGTACTTGAGTACTTTAGGAATCCTGAGGAAGCCAAAAGAGTCTAGCCAGGCATGCTGGCCCCCTAGAGCCTACTCTCTTGGGTTTTGAGCTGGGTGCAAAGTACTGAATGTTTAGGGGAGCTATCCCTGTCTTGAGATTTCCCACATGAAACCTTCCTTTCTCCTCCCATCTACAGCAACCCTGCTGCTTGTGGTGCTACCTGGTCTCCTGGTCCAGCTGCTTCCTCTTGCTGAGCTGTAGCCCTCTCCTGCCTGCAGTTCATGGGTCTGAGTGTTGAAGGTCGGCCCAGGGGCACGAACTTGGTGGTTCTCTAAGGTCTGTGTAGAATGAAGGGTGCGATCATTTTGGGGTATATCTACTTTAGCATTCATGACTTCCATAGACAGCCAAGGACCTACTGGGTCTATGGGTAAATTTTATGCTCTGACTTCAAACTTACTACCCTTTGACACTTTGCTATGATTAAAAAGCAGTGTTTGTCTGCATGGTCAGCAATAACAGTTTTTTTTTTTTTGGTGGACATTTTTTTTATTTGTATTTTTATTTTGCAATACAATTCAGTTCTACATATCAGCCATGGATTCCCTTGTTCTCCCCCCATGGCCCCCCAACCTTTCCCCCAGCCCACCCCCCATTCCCACTTAAAGTACGAAATATGTGATGAATGTTACAATCTAGGAAATAAATCATTCATAACCACACCTTGATTTCTAGGTATTTCTGTAGGATGTATTATTGTTTGTAAGGCATGAAGTCTGATGCTCACACATACACATCTGAGAAAGTTCATGTTGTACATTTCTCACAAATGCTCCAGCACCACAAATTGAGTGGGCCATAAATGTAAGGGCTGACCTAGATAAAGTCTACTCTCTACTCTACCCCATCAGAAATACAGCCAGCTACTGAGATCTATCAGCCTATTTCAATAACTCTGATCATCTCTGAAAACATGAATAAGCATATTAAATTTTAAAATTTTATTATCACTATACTGCCTGATGTGTGTGTTCATGACTTGAAATGTGTTTAGGGTCAGAGGGCAACTCTGTGGCATGAGCTCTTGCCTTCCAACTTTATGTAGGTTCCAGGGATCAAACTTAGGTTGTCAGTTTTGCACATCAAGCATTTTAACTGCTAAACCATCTCAGCAACCCAGACAGGCCCATTTTGAGCCATATATGGATCAGGAAGTCTGTGTCCTGCACTCACCCTTAGTGGGTATAGCCCAAGTGTATAAAGCTTCCCTTACTCTCCATGTTCTGGAGTAAGAGACCCCTGGAAAAAGACCATAGACTCAATTCAGATTATAATTATAATCAGCTAAATGTATTGTAGCTACTAGCAGGACAACAGTCTCTGAGCAAAACCAGAGACTGTTGAGCCAAGAGGGGTGGGGATGAGGGAAGGTTCTTTATATGTGAAAACCACAAGAAGACCTTGAGTATCTATCTGCACAAGCAAACCGAAAGCTGTTTTGCTCTGTCAAGATTAGGTAGTCAAGGGGACCTAAGAATAGTCCTTGAATGTCTACATAAACGGGTTACAGAAGCCAAAAAGGCAGCTAGTCGTATCATATTGAAGGAGATGGTCATAGCTGTGGATTTCTGGGTAGGTGTAACTCAGTTGCTGTTACTGGGGAGTTATCTTCCAGGGCCTGGAGTCAGAGTCAAATTGTTATTAGGTACCAAGATGGATGCCTAATATAAAATGGAGGTTCTTTAGCCAGTACACCACTCCCCACTAGCTGTAGACCATATGAATCAAATCATTGATAATTAATAGTAAAAATTGTAGAGATAGATTGGAATCTTCATTGTACATAGAGACCTCAGAGTTCTGGGCAGGTAAATAGAATACATGGTTCCTGATCATTGAAGGCCATGCAGATGCTTGAGGTCTGGGCCCCTGCCTGGGGTCACGTTGTTTTCCAAGGGCCACCTTGAAGCTGATGGGAGTCAAACTGACAGGCTTATACAGTTACCCAGGGCCATGGTGACATCTGGCTCTAAGAGTCTGCTGGGGACCATGTCTTGGTTTGTGGTCCTAATGCAACCAGGGTCTATATTGATGTCCATGGATCCCATTTCCACCAAAGGTAACAAGGATGCCTGGCTTCCCATTGTTTTTGACCATGTTAGGGTGTAAGGGACATGCAGCTGCCAGGGCCATGCCCACCTGAGTGGCCTGAGCTGAACTCATGGACATGAAGACACTGGGCCGGGGCTGCTGCTGAGGGCCATGTGTGGGTCCATGGCCCACTATAGCCAGGGTCACTGTCAGTGTCCATGGCTCAGGTTACTACTGAAGGCAGTGCAGATGCCTGGGGTCTGGGCAAATACCTGAGACCTAGATCCACCAAGGGGACCATGGAGATGGAGGGGTGAGGGTGTTTCTGCAATGCCATCCAGGGCTATGATGATGTCCTGCCTGAGCTGTGGCCAGAGGCCATGTCTGGGTCCATGGCCCTACTTCAGCGGGATCTGTGTTGAGATCTGTGGTTCCTATTGTCATCGGGGACTGAGAGACTGCTCGGAGTCTCTACCACCACCTGGGATCATGTTGACATCTGGCAACTCTGATGCTGCTGGACCCATATCAAACTGAGAGGCCTTAGCTGCCACTTGGGGCCATGGTGACATCCAAGCCCAAGGTACTACTAATGGCCATGTCTGGGTCCATGGTCCTGCCACAGATGGGGTCTGTGTTGATGTCTGTCACTTGTGTTATCATAGGGGCCCAAGTGAACCATGTGTTCAACCAGGAGTTTAGCACAAGGGTCTTACTGTACTGGCCCCTCTTCTCATTGGCCAGGGGAGAGCTGACTCCATCCTTAGCTGGTCTTGGGATAACAGACCTGGATGACCCTGGCATGGGGAAGATGGCTCTGCCCCTAATAGGAAAGCTGGCTCTCAATACTTCGGAAAGATGGCCCTACTCCTCTATAGCATGTGGGAGAGATTGTCACACTCCTCACTGGAGGGGAGAGGTCCCAGCAGCCCGGACTGACCAGTCTGCAGCCAACCAGATACACATGCAGGGCTTGGAGCTCCCATACTCCAACACTGACCCCATCTATGACCTGCTGGAGTGTGAGAATGGACTGGGGCTGCAGAGCCATGGCCACATGGTCTACAAGACCAGGGGCAACAGTGTGTGGGCAGTTTGTGTGGGGATCCAGTGTTGGTGTGCTGGAGGCCAAGGGAAAGCTTTTTGGTCAAAAGAGTATATTGCATGATATACAGCAGCTCCCAATGCCAGTGAGATGAATGAAGAGACCATGGAGAGGCAAAGACAGAGGGCAGTGTTTAGTTTTGGGTTTTTGTTTGTTTGTTTAATTTTTGTTTTTGTTTTACTTTTTCTTGTTTGCTTGTTTTTTTCTGTTGGTTAATATGTTTTTTAATTGAAATTGATATTCTTATCTGTATATTTTAATTTTTGCTATTTTATTTATTTAATTACTTTTTCAGTATTTTTTAATCTGTATCTGATTTTATTATTTTTTTTAGTTTCCCTTTGGGGAAACACTACAAGAGTAAGGGGTGGTTGTGGAGGTTCTGGGAAATTCGTGAGATTGGGGTCCACAAGGTGAAATTCCCAAAGAATCAATTAAAAAAAAAAACTTGGTCACCTCTCTTCACCTTTTCCTGATTCCCCTTTAGCATTCAGGTGATTTGCTGGTATTTTTGTTTGGTTTCAGGGGTCTCACTATGTAGACCTACCTGGTCTCAAATTCACACAGATCCCTCTGTCTCAGGCTTCCAAACTCTGGGATTAAAGATGTGAGCCACCACAACAGTCTTTCATGTAATTTGTAAAATTGGTGTGTAGGGCAAAGGTCAACCAACTTCTACTTTCTCCAGTATCTAGCCCCCCCCCCGTCTCTTTGTCTGTCTGTCTTTCTCAAACACACACACACACACACACACACACACACACACACACACACACACACACACATCAGTCCTGTGGGGAACAACAGAAAGGTCCTGACTCATTTTGGTACAGACAAAGGAAAAGATGCAGGATGGGGATGCAGTTTGGTTGGTAGAGTGATTGCCAAGCAGCACCAGGTCCTGTGCTTTCTTTTTGCACATATAAATCTAGTTTTTTGGAAAGAGAATCAGGAGTTCAGATTATCCTCAGCTACATAGCCAGGAAGAAGCCAATCTGGGAAAATGGGACCTTGTCTCAAAAACCAAAACCAAAACAAAAAACTAAAAGATGGAGAATAGAAATGGTATAGTATAGCAGGTAATCCACAGATCCTAATAAAGGAACTATTTATTTAGAAATTATATTGGAGAGAACAACTCACTAAACAGAATAGGCGAATCCTCATCACAGAGTCCTGGAAGGCTGATGTCCTGCTCCACACTGCTCCTGCTGACTGAAGGAATCCACACCATCCAAACTCACAATGGAGAGAAGGTGCCAGGCATACATGCCCCTCAGCTTAAGCTAGCCCCTAAGACCACACCGTAGGGGCTGGTACTTCAAGGTCGTAGGTGGAACAGGTACCCACTACAGTATACTAACAAAGTACAACATACCTAACTTAAGTAGTTCATAAACTCTCTGGCTTCCTTTCAAATCTAATCTGAAACTGAAAGTGTATTGTCCACAGGATAAAAGGCCACAGCACTGTCTTCTGCAACACTTGCTTTTAGAAGAGGCCAGAGACCCAGCCACCAAAGACCTGCTCAGGTACCTGACAACTCTGAACTCTGTCCTCTGAAGGGGAAGGCCTCTAACGTTGAGGGGACCCTGAGAACAATCTCAGGGTTGCAGTGGGTGTCGCAGGGTGAGGTGGGGTGGTGGTGGTCTATGACTCAAGGGTTAAAGCCAGAACGTCAGTCAGTACTGGGGAAGAAATAGCCCCTGTAGGGAGATGGGGTCAGATATAGATAAAGAAAGGACAGACATGAGGCTATCAATATTTCTAGAGACTTAAAAAATATAATGCAGGACCACACAATTTACCCCCCAAGTCCTGTAGAAAGCAACTGGCATCTGTGTACATAGTCTCTTATGTGTATAGACTTTTACCTTCGTGTACTTCCCGAGTTTTCAGGACAGAACAGAGATATGCTTAATTAATCCCATTTTCCTCCCAGCTCCATGCAAACATTAGCTTCTATCCTCTTCTTTGCTTTATTTATCCATTTTTTTTAATTTATTTTAATTTATTTTGCAATACAATTCAGTTCTACATATTGGTCACAGATTCCCTTGTTCTCCCCCCCTCCCGTCCCCCTCACCTTCCCCCCAACGCCCCCCCCCATTCCCATCTCCTCCAGGGCAAAGCCTTCCCCACAGACTGAGGTCAACCTGGTAGACTCAGTCCAGGTAGGTCTAGTCCCCTCCTCCCAGGCCAAGCCAAACAATCCTGCATAGGCCCCAGGTTTCAAACAGCCAACTCATGCAATGAGCACAAGATCTGGTCCCACTGCCTGGATGCCTCCCAAACAGATCAAGCCAATCAACTGTCTCACCCATTCGGAGGGCCTGATCCAGTGTGGACCCCTCAGCCATTGGTTCATAGTTCATGTGTTTCCATTCATTTGGCTATTTGTCCCTGTGCTTTATCCAACCTTGGTCTCAACAATTCTCGCTCATATAAACCCTCCTCATTCTCGTTGATTGGACTCCTAGAGATTCACCCAGGGCCTAGTCATGGATCTCTGCATCCAGATCCCTCAGTAGTTGGATGAGGTTTTAATTTAAGAGTTTTAAAAGATGCATTCTTGCTGTGTGGCCCACACCAATGGGGGTGACCTTCCTTCTTATTCCTGACTTGCTGTTAAAATTTCCACCCCTCAAAGAATAGTGAAAACAATACATTCTCAGAAGATACAAGAATTAATAAGGCTGATTGTGTTAGTCTGCTTCCTTCCTTTTTGTTTTTCTTTTCACTTTTTTGTGTGTGTGTGAGTACATGCACATGTTTGGGCATATGTACTGGTGTGGCACATACTTGTGTGTGGGGACATGCATGTGGAAGTCAGAGGACAATCTGTGGTGTCATTCCTCAGGCACTGTCCACCATTTTTGTAAAGACAGGGTCTCTCACAGGCCTGGGACACACCAAGGAGACTGGTCTGGCTGTACAGCGAGTCTTGGGGATATCATGGACCCATCTCTATCCATCTCCTGGTGCTGAAATACAAGCGCATGTCATCAAACCTGCTCTTTTCCCATGGGTTCTTGGGATCAAACTCAGGTCTTTGTTTGCAAGGCAAGTCCTTTACCCACTGAGCTTTCTCCTCAGTTTGTGTTTATTACTATCACAAAATGCTTGATGCTGGAAAGTTTATAAAGTAAAGGCGCTTACTCAGTTCACAGTCTGACAACTGGAAAGTCTAAATATCATGAAAGTGCTGGCTGGTTAGGGTTTTCCTGGCTGAATCACAATATTCTCTATCACAATATCAGGGAAGCCATTGCCATGTGCAGAAGGGAACACATGGCAAGAGAGGAAGCCAGAGAGGTTCTGGGGCCAGACTGGCTCTTGCAGGAACTGAGTAGGATCCCACTTTCATTGTCTAATATTTGCTTGCAGATGCTCTTGAAGTTGAAGATGACATCTCTTTTAGACTCAAAAGTTCACATGTTCCTCCTGACTTGGTTTTTCACCCATCAGGTAATATTCTTAACCCACACTCTGTTGACCTTGCTTTCTGCTGCCCACATATTTGCGGTATTTCTGATCCCAAGGTTAAGTATGCAGTTAGAGGATGGTAGAGAGCACAAATCTTGAAAAGTTAACATCAGTAAGGGGAAGGTTATGTGCGGGTGATTATGAGCAACATACAATGATATACATGTATGAAAATGTCATGATGAGGCCTGTTATATTGTATATTGACTAAACATTAGAAGAAAATCTGTAGTATTCATAAACACCAAACCATCAGAAATCAACTTTGCCTTTCAACACCCCTCATAACATAATGAGATTGTGTCCATGCATGTGTGTCATGTGTGAGGATGTCGCATGCAGCATCTCATGCTGTCGGCACCCAGCACATGCTAATAACTTAGCAAACTTATCTAGTAACAAAGAATCTACTTCTCTCTTTCAGGTGACAGGCCTGACTGAGCCTCCCAACCTGGACATGGCTCCCAATGCATTTGATGATCAGTATGAGGGCTGTGTTGAAGACATGGAGAGAAAAGCACCCCAGCTGTTACAAGAAGACTTCAACATGAATAAGAAATTAAAACTTGAGTGGGAAATGGCAGAGAAACGATGGAAGGAGATAAAAAATGCAATGAGCACTCCCAAAGGTTTCCATGACTTCCACGGAACGGCTTTAGTGGCCTACACTGGGAAAATTTACATAGATTTTAACAGAGCAGTTAGAACATTCAAAGAAAATCCTGGTAACTTCCATTACAAGGCCTTCCATTACTACTTAACAAGAGCCCTTCAGCTTCTGAGTACCAAATGCTACGATGTTTACCGAGGCACCAGTAACAAGTTTCATTACAGTGGGAAGGGCTCTGTGCGGTTTGGGCAGTTCGCTTCCTCATCTTTGGAAGAGAGAGTAGCTCTTGAAGGCTTTGGTGGTGAGAGTGGGACACTGTTTATCATCAGAACCTGCTTGGGGGTTAATATAAAAGAATTTTCCTACAAACCTGAACAAAAGGAGGTATTAATTCCAGGCTATGAAGTATTTCCCAAAGTTACCAAAACAGCAAGTGGAAAGGGGTATGACAAAATTTTTCTGCACTCCCCTGAAAGAAAGGAAAGCAACTTCAATTGCTTCTATAGCGGTTCTACCGACAAGAGCCATTTCAGCAGCTCAGGTGAGTCTGGGTCTGTGTTAGAGGTGGAGCTGGTGGGGACATCATGAAATACATTAGGGGGTGCTCCCTACCAGAAGACACCTGGTAGACCATGCACATGGTGAGGGTGCCTAGAAGGATGAAGGGTAGCTTTGGTAAAGCCAGGGGGCACATACCTCAGTGCAGGTGTATCAGAAATGGTTGAACACAGTGAGGGACTTCAGGAAAATGCTACTACCAGGTCCAGCCCTGTGAGGAGTGACAAGTGCCATCAGCAGGTATTTATCCCTTCAAACCAATGCTGGCCCATGTTGGGGATCTCTATGGCGGTATACCCATCATTCTATGTGACCAGAGTGCTCTCTTCATTCTTTCACCATATGTCTCATTCTGTTCAAGCAAAGACTCCATCAATTTTAGTTTGGTAATTACCTTTTAAGTTATAGTTCAAGTATCATTTATCACAGCAATCTTTCCTTAATACTTCCAGAGAAAATTACTGTACCATGTTCTCTGTCATAGGTTTTGTGTCAGACTCCATGGTAATCTGGTTCAAACATCGCTCTGTGACTCTTGGCAAGTTATCAGATATACATGCCTCAGTTTCCCCAGTTGAACAATAAAGACCCATATAACAAATATTCTAGTAGTATTGCTTTGAGAATTAAGAGAGAGGCATTCAAGACATATGATTGGCATGTGGATATCAACCCACAAATGCCTTTCATTTTTAAATATGAGGAACTATGTACACATGTAAATCATCTGACCCAAACTCATACTGGGTCTCCACATTCACAGGAAAATCATTTGCTTACAGTCTAGAGACTTTGTCTCCTATGCCCACCACTCAGGATTTACACAGTGTCTGGATTACTTACTTACATCCAGGCTCCACTAAATGTTGTCCTAGGAAGCTAAGTTTGAGTGAGAGGCCAGGGAGAACCTGAAATGAGATACAGTTAGACTACTGAGTACAGAGCAATCTTAGATCTAATCAGCTCTGACACTCTAGGGTTTCTGGAAACATGGGAAGTCTTTGGAGAAGGAAGTGGAACCATAGAAGTTATCATAGGGGCTTCATGCATTTGCATAGAGGAATTTGAATTTATATCAAGCCCAAGGAAAGCATGACCCCTCCCAAGGTTAACAGTCCAGCCAGAAAGATGCTACCCATTTGGGCCAAATGGTTAATGCCCAAGCAGGCTGAGAACCACAGGTAGGTTCTAGTCCACACCAGCTGGCATAGAAGGAATACACATTGCTGCAACAATGGACTTTCAGAAGGTTCAGACCCAGAAACCTCCTTCTGGGCAAAGAAGGAAAAGCCTGTCGGGCTCCCTAGAAGGTCAGGAAGACTCTGGATAGGAAAGGCTTTTATCCCCAGTCAGTATCTTAGAGCACAGGACCCTGGAAGTGGTGGGGATCCATCAGTTTGCTCACATCCTGGTACTTGAGTACTTTAGGAATCCTGAGGAAGCCAGAAGAGTCTAGCCAGGCATGCTGGCCCCCTAGAGCCTACTCTCTTGGGTTTTGAGCTGGGTGCAAAGTTCTGAATGTTTAGGGGAGCTATCCCTGTCTTGAGATTTCCCACATGAAACCTTCCTTTCTCCTCCCATGTACAGCAACCCTGCTGCTTGTGGTGCTCCCTGGTCTCCTGGTCCAGCTGCTGTTTCCTCTTGCTGAGCTGTAGCCCTCTCCTGCCTGCAGTTCATGGGTCTGAGTGTTGAAGGTCGGCCCAGGGGCACGAACTTGGTGGTTCTCTAAGGTCTGTGGTAGAATGAGGGGTGCGATCATTTTGGGAGATCTGCTTTAGCATTCATGACTTCCATAAACACCCAAGGGACCTGTAACTCGAATTGCTAAACGGTCTTATTAATAAAAAACCCAGAGCCAGATATTGAGTTGAAAGCTGAAAGATCAGAGAGGCAGAGCAGCAGCCACTAGTTCTTACCCCTATGAAATCCTTTGCCAAAACAGAGTGTGCTCCTCTCCCCACCCTGCCTTATCACTTCTCTCCACCCAGCTCTATCACTTCCTGTATGTCTGTACAGACCTCAAGACCTTTATGGTTGACTAGTGGCTAGCTCCTCCATCTGATTTTCAGGCAAGCTTTATTTGTTAGAGCACAAATAAAATATCACCACATTGCCCCTTTTTTTGTCTAAAATTAAAAAAAAGTTTATAACTAATGTAAAAAAATTATATACAGAAAGTACAATATCTATATACTATATATACAGGCAATAAATACATCAACAATGTCTAGTCCATTTGCATTTGTCAAATTCAGAGAAAATACTCCATTATCTATCATATCTTTGTAAGTCCAAAGGATTATATCTAATTCACCTTCTACCCTAATTTGCATTACCAACTGGAAACTATCTTTTGATGTCTTTCAAACTTATACACTTTACACCTCTTTAGTGAGTTTCTCTTCTGAATTTCTTAACAAGGAAAACTGTAACTATAACTATCTAATCTTCAACTCCCTCAGAGACCTGAGAAGGAAATAATATTAACTGAGTAAACAGGAAGTGCAAACAAGCGACTTCCAAAAAATGTGAGAAATGACAGAAACAGCTGGCTGCCCTGACAGTCACCCAAGATTTCTCTGCAATGTTGGGGCATCCATCTTCGGCCTACAGGCCTAGTATATCTGACAGACTCATCTGTGAAGCAGGATTTTCTGAAGCCTCTTCCTAACTTGTCTTGGCAAGGTTTGGCAGTCCTTTCTTTTGTGTCCTGCTTGTCCATTTTGGACAGCATACTGTCAGCAGTCAATGCCAGGGCATTTCTTGCCCAATGGCTAACTTTTGCCACAAAGAAAGTAAACTCCATATGGAGTTTCTTCAATATCCATCATCTTCTCTGAAGTAGATTGGTGCTGCCAGCAGCAGACATGTCTCATAGCACAAAAAAAGAAAAAAAATCTATGTTATTAAAACATCTTAAATACCATATATTATAGATCCCTGAAGTGTTTGAAGATGACCTATCTAAAATATGTTTCTGTTTTACCTTGAAAACATATATAATATGAATAAAAGTTTGATTGTAATGACTAACTATTTACTTGCATTGGATTTTGTTGGGGTAAAACTAGTGGCTGGCTGTTCTGCCTCTATGATCTTTCAGATTTTACCCCAATATCTGGCTCTGGGATTTGATTAATAAGACCATTTAGCAATTTGTGTTACAGGGACCTGCTGGGTCTATGGGTAAAATTTTATGCTCTGACTTCAAATTTAGTACCCTTTGACACTTTGCTATGATCAAAAAGCGGTGTTTGTCTGCATGACCAGCTGTAATAGTTTTAAACTATGCAATATGTAATTAATGTTATAATCTAGCAAAATAAATCATTTATTTCCACACGTTGATTTCTGTGACTATATATTTCTATTCCTTTGAGAATTATTCCTTTGAGAAACTCTCCTAAGGCATGAGGTCTGATGCTCACATGTCCATAGCTGAGAAACTTCATGTTGTACATTTCTCACAGATACTCCTGCATTACAAATTGAGTGGGCCATAAATGTAAGGATTGACTTAGATAAAGTCCACTCCCTACTCTACCCCATCAGAAATACAGCCAGCTACTGAGATCTGTCAGCCTCTTTCAATAACTCTGATCATCTCTGAGGACATGGATAAGTACATTATTTTTAAGACTTTATTATTACTGTATTGCCTGGTGTGTGTGTGTGTGTGTGTGTGTGTGTGTGTGTGTGTGTGTGTGTGTGTGTGTTTGTGTGTGTGTGTTTGTGTGTGTGTGTGTTTTTTTTTTATACTTTGAAATGTGTTTAGGGGTCAGAAGGCAACTCTGTGACATCAGCTCTTGCCTTCCACCTTTTTGTAGGTTCTAGGGATCAAACTCAGGTTGTCAGTTTTGCACATCTAGCATTTTAACTGATAAACCATTTCAGCAACCCAGACAGGCCCATTTTGAGGCATATATATGGATCAGGAAGTCTGTGTCCTGTACTCATCATGGGTGGTTTAGCCTCAGTGTATAATGCTTCCCTTACTCCCCATGTTATGGAGTAAGGGACCCCTGGGAAAAGACCATAGACTCAATTCAGATTATAATTATAATCAGCTAAATGTATTGTAGCTACTAGCAGGACAACAGTCTCTGAGCAAAACCAGAGACTGTTGAGCCAAGAGGGGTGGGGATGAGGGAAGGTTCTTTATATGTGAAAACCACAAGAAGACCTTGAGTATCTGCACAAGCAAACCAAGAGCTGTTTTGCTCTGTCAAGATTAGGTAGTCAAGGGGACCTAAGAATAGTCCTTGAATGTCTACATAAGCGGGTTACAGAAGCCAAAAAGGCAGCTAGTCGTATCATATTGAAGGAGATGGTCATAGCTGTGGATTTCTGGGTAGGTGTAACTCAGTTGCTGTTACTGGGGAGTTATCTTCCAGGGCCTGGAGTCAGAGTCAAATTGTTATTAGGTACCAAGATGGATGCCTAATATAAAATGGAGGTTCTTTAGGCATTACACCACTCCCCACTGGCTGTAGACCATATGAATAAAATCATTGATAGTTAATAGTAAAAGTTTTAGAGATAGATTGGAATCTTCGTTGTACATAGAGACCTCAGGGCTCTGGGAAGGTAAATAGAATACATGGTTCCTGATATCACTGAAGGCTGTTCAGATGCTCGAGGTCTGGGTCCCTGCCTGTGGTCATGTTGTTTTCCAAGGGCCACCTTGCAGCTGATGGGAGCCAACTTGACAGGCCTATACAGTCAACCAGGGCCATGGTGACATCTGGGTCTAAGAAGCTGCTGGGGACCATGTCTTGGTTTGTGGTCTTACTGCAACCAGGGTCTATGTTGATGTCCATGGATCCCATTTCCACCAAAGGTTACAAGGATGCCTGGCTTCCCATTGTTATTGACCATGTTAGGGTGTAAGGGACATGCACCTGCCAGGGCCATGCCCACCTGAGTGGCCTGAGCTGAATTCATGGACATGAAGACACTGGGCCGGGGCTGCTGCTGAGGACCATGTGTGGGTCCATGGCCCACTATAGCCAGGGTCACTGTCAGTGTCCATGGCTCAGGTTACTACTGAAGGCAGTGCAGATGCCTAGGGTCTGGGCAGATACCTGACGTAGATCCACCATGGGGACCATGGAGATGGAGGGGTGAGGGTGTTGCTGTAATACCATCCAGGGCCATGATGATGTCCTGCCTGAGCTGTGGTCAGTGGCCAAGTCTTGGTCCATGGCCCTACTTCAGCTGGAATCTGTGTTGAGATCTGTGGTTCCTATTGTAATCAGGGTCTGCCACACAGCTTGGAGTCTCTACCACCACCTGGGATCATGTTGGCATCTGACAACTCTGATGCTGCTGGGCCCATGTCAAACTGAGAGGCCTATGCTGCCACTTGGGACCATGGTGACATCCAAGCCCAAGATACTACTGATGGCCATGTCTGGGTCCATGGTCCTGCCTCAGATGGGGTCTGTGTTGATGTCTGTCACTTGTGTTATCATAGGGGCCCAAGTGAACCATGTGTTCAACCAGGAGTTTAGCACAAGGGTCTTGCTCTGCTGGCCCCTCTTCTCACTGGCCAGGGGAGAGCTGACTCCATCTTGCTGGTCTTGGGATAACAGACCTGGATGACCCTGGCATGGGGAAGATGGCTCTGCCCCTAATAGGAGAGCTGGCTCTCAATACTTCGGAAAGATGGCCCTACTCCTCTATAGCATGTGGGAGAGCTGGTCGCACTCCTCACTGGAGGGGAGAGGTCCCAGCAGCCCGGACTGACCAGTCTGCAGCCAACCAGATACAGATGCAGGCCTTGGAGCTCCCACACTCCAACACTGACCCCATCTATGACCTGCTGGAGTGTGAGAATGGACTGGGGCTGCAGAGCCATGGCCACATGGTCTACAAGACCAGGGGCAACAGTGTGTGGGCAGTTTGTGTGGGGATCCAGTGTTGGTGTGCTGGAGGCCAAGGGAAAGCTTTTTGGTCAAAAGAGTATATTGCATGATATACAGCAGCTCCCAATGCCAGTGAGATGAATGAAGAGACCATGGAGAGGCAAAGACAGAGGGCAGTGTTTAGTTTTGGGTTTTTGTTTGTTTGTTTAATTTTTGTTTTTGTTTTACTTTGTCTTATTTGCTTTTTTTCTGTTGGTTAATTTCTTTTTTAATTAAAATTGATATTCTTATCTGTATATTTTAATTTTTTACTATTTTATTTATTTAATTACTTTTTTCAGTATTTTTTAATCTTTATCTTATTTTTATTATTTCTTTTTTAGTTTCCTTTTGGAGGAACACTACAAGAGTAAGGGGTGGTTGTGGAGATTCTGGGAAATACATGAGATTAGGGTCCACAAGGTGAAATTCCCAAAGAATCAATTAAAAAAAAACTGGGTCACCTCTCTTCACCTTTTCCTGATTCCTCTTTAGCGCTCGGGTGATTTGCTGGTAGTTTTGTTTGGTTTCAGGGGTCTCACTATGTAGACCTACCTGGTCTCAAATTCACACAGATCCCTCTGTCTCGGGCTTCCAAACTCTGGGATTAAAGATGTGAGCCACCACAACAGTCTTTCATGTAATTTGTAAAATTGGTGTGTAGGGCAAAGGTCAACCAACTTCTACTTTCTCCAGTATCTAGCCGCCCCCCCGTCTGTCTGTTTGTCTCTCTCTCACACACACACACATAACACACACACACATACACACACACACACACACACACACACACACACACACACACACACACACACCAATCAGTCCTGTGGAGAACAATAGAAAGGTCCTGGCTCATTTTGGTACAGACAAAGGAAAAGACACAGGATGGGGATGCAGTTTGGTTGGTAGAGTGATTGCCGAGCCGCACCAGGTCCTGGGTTCTATTTTTGTACAAATAAATCTAGTTTTGTGGAAAGAGAATCATGAGTTCATGTCACCCTCATCTACACAGCCAGGAGAGGCCAATCCGGGCTAATGGAACCTTGTCTCAAAAACAAATACAAAACAAAAAATTAAAAACGATAGAGAATAGAAATGGTATAGTATAGCAGGTAATCCACAGATCCTGATAAAGGAACTATTTACTTAGAAATTATACTGGGGAGAACAACTCACTGAACAGGATAGGCCCTGGAAGGCTGATGTCCTGCCTCACACTGCTCCTGCCGCCTGAGTCAATCCACACCATCCAAGCCCACAGTGAAGAGAAAGGACCAAACATACGTGCCCCTCAGCTTAAGCTAGCCCCAAGGCCACACCTTAGGGGCTGGTACTTCAAGGTCGTAGGTGGAACAGGTACCCACTACAGTATACTATCAAAGTACAACATACCTAACTTAAGTAGCTCATAAACTCGCTGGCTTCCTTTCAAATCTAATCTGAAACTGAAAGTGTATTGTCCACAGGATAAAAGGCCACAGCACTGCCTTCTGCAACACTTGCTTTTAGAAGAGGCCAGAGACCCAGCCACCAAAGACCTGCTCAGGTACCTGACAACTCTGAACTCTGTCCTCTGAAGGGGAAGGCCTCTAAAGTTGAGAGGACTCTGAGAACAATCTCAGGGTTGCAGTGAGTGTAGCCATGTGTGCAGGGGTGTCTATGACTCAGGGTCAAAGCCAGAAGGTCAGTTCTGGGCAAGAAATAGCCCATGTAGGGTGATGGAGGCAGATATAAATAAATGAAGGACAGACATGAGGCTATAATATTTCTAGAGACTTAAAAATATAATGCAGGACCAAACAATTTACTTCCCAAGTCCTGTAGGAAGCAACTGGCATCTGTGTACATATTCTCTTATGTATATAGACTTTTACCTTCATGTACTTCCTGGGTTTTCAGGACAGAACAGGGATATGCTTAATTAATCCCATTTTCCTCCCAGCTCCATGCAAACATTAGCTTCTATCCTCTTCTTTGCTTTACTTATCCATTTTTATTTTAAAAGTTTTAAAAGATGTGTTTTTACTGTAAAAACCGCCCCAGGTCTCCTGCATGTTGGAAACATAGGCTATTCTTTTCTTTAATTTAGGATCATAGAGTTTGAATGCAGATAAAGAGCAGGATGGAAGGAGAGTGGGAGGAGTGAGGAAAGAAGGGGTAGGGACGAAGGAAAAGAGAGAGAGATGAAAGTTTTTATTGAAGTTCAAGGTGTTAGCTACATTGACTTTGGGGGGAAATTTTAATTGGCAGGCACAAGTTCCAGAAGTTCATATCGGGGCTGAAGAGACTCAAATTGCATATCTTCAGTCTATGTGGGTTGTGAAGGGCATCGGTGCCAATAAGGCACAGCTAGGCTGTTCTTAGCTGTCCCACAGGGAAGTAGACACCAGTCCGGTGAAAGGCAAACATCTGGATCAACCACATGAGGAACTAGGGAGGGGAGGAGAGATTTGGAAGTTTACTCCAGGCTGGCTAAGCCATGCTTCCTGAATGAGAAAGTCCTTCTGCTGACCCACCAACCCTACAGGATTGCTTTCTCCTGGCACCTCCATCTGGAATTTGTCAGACTTCCTGACTTCAGAACAGAGCTTTGAAGCCTAAGTTTTAAGACAAGAAAGGGGGTGGTTCTAACTGAGGCTGGAGAAAGAGCTAGAATGTGGAGATGTGCGTTGTGTAAAGAGGCTTCACTGTCCAGCTGGGTGTAGCTCAGTGAAAGGTGTTGGCCTGGTATGAACAATATTCTGGGTTCAGTCCTCAGCACCGATTAATTGGAATCTTATGCTAAATAGTACTTCCCCCATAAGAAAATTGTGAGCTGGAGAAATGGCTCAGTGGTTAGAGCACATACTTCCTCTTGCTGTAGGATCAGAGCTCAGTCCCATCACCCATGCCAGACAGCTCACAGGTTCCTGTAACTCCAGCTCCACAGGGTCTGACACCTCTGACCTCAGAGTGCAAGCATCTGCACGCGTGTGCACAGACCGACAAACTCCAGGACATGCATGCATACACGTTACTAAAAAGAAGAAAAGGAAAGCTTTTTTAAAAATGCAAATTATGTCAAAATTAACAAAGTAGCTCATTAGAAATACTAAGTGCATGAGTTTGAGCTGGAGTCCAGAAGTCTCTGTTGGTGACAAGTTTCCAGAGAACTCCTGATACAACCAAACTGCAGGAACCATTTTGAATAACTAACCAAATCCTAAGTGGCTCCAGGGTGTACTCAAGGCGAAAGGAAATCACCTATGTTTCTATTTCTGGGCAGAGCTTAATTTTACCTTTTTTGTGACTTCAGAGTCCATCCTAAACTGGCCTGGGCCCCGATGCCCCTGCGCCCATCTCCCAAGGGCTAGGATTATAGGTGTGTGCTTCAATAACTGGTTGTCTAGCAGGACTTTAAGAATTTAGGGAGGCTATCTTATGTAGCTGACTATAGTTATTTTATAATAATTGATAATTTTTGAAAGTTGAGGATGTACAGAAGGTGGAAACCTTCACTGCAGTTCTGAACTCCTAGGTCTATTGTTTCTACAGTGTCCCCTAAAAGCTCAGGGCAGGAGAAGCCAAGCTGTGGAGGAGTTGGGAGTCCCAGCCTTCCCAAGGGCAACTAGTCAGTCACAGCATGCAGCTCCATTCTGCCATTCTCAAGGTGTGGGGAGAGGATTATCTGGCCAGAATAAGTCAAAATTCTGTGGACAGTAACACAACAGCTTAGATAAGTGTGGGGGAGAGTTTTCATGATTTTCTAAAAGCCATAGGCAGGAATGAATGGATGAGTCCACACCAACGGGGTGACCTTCCTTCTCATTCCTTGACTTGCTATTCAGTGTATACTTCTTTCCTTTTTATTTTTCTTTTCTCCTTTTTTTTGTGTGTGAGTACATGCACATGTTTGGGCATATTTACTTGTGTGGGCACATGCACATGTATGGGTACATGCTCATGGGTGGGCACATGCATGTGGAAGTCAGAGGACAATGTCTGGTGTCATTCCTCAGGCACTGTCCACCATTTTTGTAATGGTAGTGTCTCTCACAGGCCTGGGGAACACACCAAGCAGACTGGTCTGGCTGTCCAGTGAGTCTTGGGGATCTCAGAGACCCATCTCTGTCCACCTCCTGGTGCTGAATACAAGTGCATGTCATCACACCTGCTTTTCCATGGGTTCTTGGGATCAAACTCAGGTCTTTGTTTGCAAGGCAAGTCCTTTACTCACTGAGCTTTCTCCTCAGTTTGTGTTTATTACTATCACAAAATGCTTGATGCTGGAAAGTTTATAAAATGAAGGTGCTTAGTTCACAGTCTGACAGCTGGAAAGTCTAAATATCATGAAAGCGCTGGCTGGTTAGGATTTTCCTGGCTGAATCACAATATTCTCTATCACAATGTCAGGGAAGCCATTGCCATGTGCAGAAGGGAATACTTGGCAAGAGAGGAAGCCAGAGAGGTTCTGGGGCCAGACTGGCTCTTGCAGGAACTGTGTAGAATCTCAAGGGCTGAAATGATCTCTTCTGATGGTGATGTCCTCCAGGACCTGGTCACTTCCCAGGAGACCTCACCTCGTAAAGGTTTCACTATCTTCATATGGCCACACTGGAGACCTTTGAAGTACAACCGTATTTAAATCATAGAACACAGTGAATACCGACAGCATTAAAAGACATTCAGAGGTAAATGTAAGTCACATGCTAATCAAATATGGAGAAAAAGTTAAGTATCTGTGCAAGTAAAACATCAAGGCCTAAGACACATCTGCTAAAATATGACCTGATTCTCTTGGCAACATACATGATACATAGCTCTGTGTGTTACCAGGATTGATTGATTGTAGGTCCTTATTGGGGAGAGAGGATGTCAGTTACCTCACTTCTTTAAAGGGACCCAAACAGAGCTGTTAACAGTGTCCTGATAAGCCATCCTGGGAGCGGTGTGAGCAGGAAGGAGCCTGGACCTGCAGATGTAAAATAGAGATTCAGTCATTGAGGTAGAACAGATCCATCAACAGACTGTTATAATACTGTGAGTACCCCTCTTTCATTGTCTTATATTTCCTTGTAGCTGTTTTTGAACTTGAAGATGACATCAAAAGTTCACATGTTCCTCCTGATTTGGTTATTAAGCCAGCAGGTAATATTCTCAACCCACATCTTGTTGACCTTGCTTTCTCCTGCCCACATCTTGGTGATATTACAGTTCCCAGGGTTCAGTATGCAGTTAGAGTGTGGCAGACAGCACAAATCTTGAAAAGGTGCTATCAGTAAGGATAAGGTTGTATGGGGATGAATATGAGCAACATACAGTGATATACGTGTATGAAAATGTCATGATGAGGCCTGTTATTTTGTTTACTAGCTAATCATTAGAAGAAAAAACTGTAGAATCTGTAAATACTAAACATCAGAAATCAGCCTTGCCTTTCTGCACCGCTTATAACATAATGAGATTGCGGCTATGTATGTGCCATGTGTGAGCTTGGAGTATGTGACATCTCATGCTGTCAGAGATGGCTCCAGACAGCACCCAGCACATGCTGATAACTTAGCAAATTTATTGAGTAACAAAGAACCTACTTCTCTCTTTTAGGTGACAGGCCAGAATGAGTCTTTCAACCTGGACATGGCTCCCAATGCATTTGATGATCAGTATGAGGGCTGTGTCGAAGACATGGAGAGAAAAGCACCCCAGCTGTTACAAGAAGACTTCAACATGAATGGGGATTTAAAACTTGAGTGGGAAAAGGCAGAGCAACGATGGAAGGAGATAAAAAATACAACGAGCACTCCCGAAGGTTTCCAAGATTCCCATGGAACAGCTTTAGTGGCCTACACCGGGAACATCCATGAAGGTTTTAACAGAGCTGTTAGAGAATTCAAGAAAAATCCCGGTAACTTCCATTACAAGGCCTTCCACTACTACTTAACAAGAGCTCTTCAGCTTCTGAGTAACCAGACTTGTCACTCAGTTTATCGAGGAACCAAGAACAAGTTTCATTACAGTGGGGAGGGCTCTGTGCGGTTTGGGCAGTTCGCTTCCTCATCTTTGGAAGAAAGAGTAGCTCTTTACAGCTTTGGTGGTGCTAGTGGGACACTGTTTACCATCAGAACCTGCTTGGGGGCTGACATAAGTGAATTTTCCTACTACCCTAAACAAGAGGAGGTGTTAATTCCAGCCTATGAAGTATATCACAATGTCACCAAAACAGCAAGTGGAAAGGGGTATGACAATATTTCTCTGCACTCCCTCCAAATAAAGAAGAGCAACTTCAATTGCTACTATAGCGGTTCTGCCAACAACAGTCATTTCAGCAGCTCAGGTGAGTCTGGGTCTGTGTTAGAGGTGGAGCTTGTGGGGGACATCATGAAATGGAAGAGGGGGGCTCCCTATCAGAAGACACCTGGTAGACCATGTATGTGGGGAGAGTGCCCAGAATGATGAGGGATAGCATTGGTAAAGCCAGGGGGCACATACCTCATTGACGGTGTATCAGGAATGGTTGAACACAGTGAGGGACTTCAGGAAAATGCTATTACCAGGTCCAGCCCTGTGAGGAGTGAGAAGTGCCATCAGCAGGTATTTATTCATCCTTTCAAACCAAAGCTTCCCCGTGTTTGGGGGTCTCTATGGCTGTATATCCATCATTCCTTGTGGCCTGGGTTCTCTCTTCATCCCTTGACCACATTTGTCATTCTATGCAAGCAAAGACACCGTCAATTTTAGTTTAGTAATTACTTTCTAAGGCATAGTTCAAGTAATCACTTATCGTAGAAATCCTTCCTTAATACTTCCAGAGAAAATTACTGTACCATGTTTTCTGGTCATCCTCAACGGTAATCTGGTTCAAACATCACTAGCTCTGTGAATCTTGGCAAGTTATCAAATGTCTGTGCCCCTGTTTCCTCATTTGAATGATAAAGACCCAAATGACAAATATTCTAGTAGCATTGCTTTGAGAATTAAGAGAGAGGCATTCAAGACATATGATTGGCATGTAGATATCAATCTACAAATACCTTTCATTTTTAAATATGAGGAACTATGTACACATGTAAATCATCTGACCCAAACTCCTGCTGGTTTGGATCTCAACATTCACAGGAAAATCATTTGCTTACAGTCTAGAGACTTTGTCTCCTATGCCCACCACTCAGGATTTACACAGTGTCTGGATTACTTACTTACATCCAGGCTCCACTAAATGTTGTCCTAGGAAGCTAAGTTTGAGTGAGAGGCCAGGGAGAACCTGAAATGAGCTACAGTTAGACTACTGAGTACAGAGCGATCTTAGATCTAATCAGCTCTGACACTCTAGGGTTTCTGGAAACATGGGAAGTCTTTGGAGAAGGAAGTGGAACCATAGAAGTTATCATAGGGGCTTCATGCATTTGCATAGAGGAATTTGAATTTATATCAAGCCCAAGGAAAGCATGACCCCTCCCAAGGTCCACAGTCCAGCCAGAAAGATGCTGCCCATTTGGGCCAAATGGTTGATGTCCAGGCAGGCTGAGAACCACAGGTAGGTTCTAGTCCACACCAGCTGGCATAGAAGGACTACACATTGATGCAACAATGGACTTTCAGAAGGTTCAGACCCAGAAACCTCCTTCTGGGCAAAGAAGGAAAAGCCTGTCGGGCTCCCTAGAAGGTCAGGAAGACTCTGGATAGGAAAGGCTTTTAACCCAGTCAGTATCTTAGAGCACAGGACCCTGGAAGTGGTGGGGATCCATCAGTTTGCTCACCTCCTGGTACTTGAGTACTTTAGGAATCCTGAGGAAGCCAGAAGAGTCTAGCCAGGCATGCTGGCCCCCTAGAGCCTACTCTCTTGGGTTTTGAGCTGGGTGCAAAGTACTGAATGTTTAGGGGAGCTATCCCTGTCTTGAGATTTCCCACATGAAACCTTCCTTTCTCCTCCCATCTACAGCAACCCTGCTGCTTGTGGTGCTCCCTGGTCTCCTGGTCCAGCTGCTGTTTCCTCTTGCTGAGCTGTAGCCCTCTCCTGCCTGCAGTTCATGGGTCTGAGTGTTGAAGGGAGGCCCAGGGGCAAGAACTTGGTGGTTCTCTAAGGTCTGTGGTAGAATGAAGGGTGCAATCATTTTGGGGGAGATCTACTTTAGTGTTCATGACTTCCATAGACACCCAAGGAACCTGCTGGTTCTGTGGTTGGAATTATATGCTCTGATTTCAAATTTACTACCCCTTGACACTTTGCTATGATCAAAAAGCAATGTTTTTCTGCATGGTCAGCTGTATCAGTTTTAAATTATGCAATATGTGATTAATGTTATAATCTAGCAAAATAAACCATTTATAACCACACCTTGATTTCTGTGACTTGGTATTTCTTTTTTTTTTTTTTTTTTTTTTTTTTGGTTTTTCGAGACAGGGTTTCTCTGTGTAGCTTTGCGCCTTTTCTGGAACTCGTTTTGGAGACCAGGCTGGCCTCGAACTCACAGAGATCCGCCTGGCTCTGCCTCCCGAGTGCTGGGATTAAAGGCGTGCGCCACCACCGCCCGGCAATTTCTGTGACTTGGTATTTCTATAGGCTGTATTATTTCTTTGAGAATCTCTCCTAAGGCATGAGGTCTGTTGCTCACATGTCCACAGCTGAGAAACTTTATATTGTACATTTCTCACAGATAATCCTGTAGGACAAATTGAATGGACCATAAATGTAAGAGCTGACCTAGATAAAGTCCACTCCCTCCTCTACCCCATCAGAAATACAGCCAGCTACTGAGATCTGTCAGTCTATTTCAATAACTCTGATCATTTCTGAGGACATGGATAAGCACATTAATTTTTAAAACGTTATTATTACTATATTGCCTGGGGTGTGTGTGTGTGTGAATTCATGCCTTGAAATGTGTTTAGGGGTCAGAGGGCAACTCGGTGGCATCGACTTTTGCCTTCCACCTTATACAGGGTCCAGGGATCAAACTCAGGTCGTCAGTTTCACACATCAAGCATTGCTGAGCCATCTCAGCAACCTAGATGGGCCCATTTTGCGGCATATATTGATCAGGATGTCTGTGTCCTGTACTCACCCTGAGTGAGTTTAGCCCTTGTGTATAAAGCTTCCCTTACTCCTCCTCTTCATCCTCCCTGCCTGAAGACAATCGTGTCTTTGCCTGCCTGTAAGGAACAACAAATATTTAACTGGTGCAAAAGCAAACAAAATTATCGCTAGAGAGCTATTTGTGGTGGTGCACAACTTTATTTACAGCACTCAGGAGACCTAGGCAGGTGAATGATGTGAGTTTGAGGTCAGCCAAAGATACATAGTGAGACCTGTCTCAAGGAAAGAAAGAAAGAAAGAAAGAAAGAAAGAAAGAAAGAAAGAAAGAAAGAAAGAAAGAACGAAAGAAAGAAAGAAAGGAAGAAGGAAGGAAGGAAGGAAGGGAGGAAGGAAGGAAGGAAGGAAGAAAGGAAGGAAGGAAGGAAGGAAGGAAGGAAGGAAGAGAGGGAGAGGGAGGGAAGGAAGGAAGGAAGGAAGGAAGGAAGAGAGAGGGAGAGGGAGGGAAGGAAGGAAGGAAGGAAGGAAGGAAGGAAGGAAGGAAGGAAGGAAGGAAAAGATATTGTTAGAGTGGTCGACCAATGACTGGTCCAGATTGAGAACTATGCCCTGAAAGGGAGCTCACACCTGACAAGGCCTGGAGGGCCTGGACCCAGAGGGAGAATGACCCAGAGGTCTAGGATAGAACCAAACACAATTGGCAAAAAACGTCAATGAAATGATTCCTAATGATATTCCGCTATACTCTAGTGCCTAGTCCAATTGTCATCAGAGAGGCTTCATCCAGCAACTGCTGGAAACAGATGCAGACTCACAGCCAAACACTAGGTGGAGCTTGGGGAATCCTGCAGAAGAGTGGGAGGAAGGAGTGGAGGAGCCAGGGGTGGGCAGAGGGGTCAAGGACACCAGAAGAAAACTTGAAGAATCAAATAATCTGGGCTCATAGGAGCTCACAGAGACTGAACGACCAACCAGGGGGCCAGCATGGGACTGGCCTAGGCCCTCTGCATGTACGTTACAGTTGTGTAGCTTGGTCTTCTTGTTGAACTCTTAACAGTGGGAGCAGGGGCTGTCTCTGACTCTGTTGCCTGCTTTTGGGTCCCTTTCCTCCTACGGGGTTGCCTGGTCCAGCCTTAACACAAGGGGAGGTACAGAGTCTTACTGCAACTTGATATACCATGGCTAGTTGATATCCATGGGAGGCCTACCCTGTTCTAAAGAGAAAGGGAGAAGGAGGAGTGGAGGAAGGGGTGGGGAGCTAGGAGCAGAGTAGGGAGTGCAAACTGTGGTAGGGATGTAACAAAACAAAACAAAACAAAAACATTGGGGATATGGTCGAGAAAATAAACTGTGCAGGCAGACAGGAAGTGTTATGGCAGGGGTGGCCCTCGAAACTCATGGTGGAAAAGCAGAGTCAATAAATGGAGTGAGAACAATTGGCTCTCAGATCCCCACATGTACCTGCTAAATAAAATTCACTGGAAACCATCATTTGGAACCACGCTCTGGCTCTTTCTAGCCTCTGAATCCAACTCCCTAGTCTCAGTAGATAGAACACTCGTTCTGTTGTGTGGGATGAGATGGTGCCTGACTTCGGAGTGGCTACTAAAAAGCCAATTTGATCTCAAAACTAAATTTGGAATCTCTTTGTTTTTCAAGACACTGTACGTAAGAGTTATCCCAAAGAAATTAAAGGCTTAAATGTGAAAAATTATTACTAAAATTCAGGAGACTATTTAGCAACAGAGGAGGGGGGGAAGCTTATTTGGTCTCCATGCCTAAAGACCACCCCGGGGCTCTGCTCATAGTCATCCCTGGATGCAGGATGCTGGGCACGAACACAGAACATCCTCCCACAATTACCAAGGCAGGATAAGGGAATGCTCGGAGCTGTGACTGGATCACTGGGTCTTACTGCTCAGATGTGATATTATCATCTTTGTGCACAGTTCAAAGCAAGCTGCCCAGCTATCTCCAACTTCAAAAAACACCTCCAAGGTTCCTGAAAGGATGGAAAAAGAGAGGAAATTTATACCAAACCCAATGATTTGAGAAATATTTAAGACCAAATAAAAAATCAAAGATAAAGAGAACTGTGTGATTATAAAAATGTTGTATTAATTAGTTTTCTCATTGCCGTGATCAAACAGTCAACAGGAGCAAGTTAAGGGAAGGAGGACTCACTTCGGCTCACAGTTCAGGGCACTGAATCCATCAAGAGCCAGGCCTAGTGGTGCCTCAGGAGGCTGAGGCAGACGGATCTCTGAGTTCAAGACCACCCTGGTCTACATAGAGATATCCAGGACAGCCAGGGCTACACAAAGGGACCCTGTCTGAAAACAAAACAAAACAAAACAAAAATTCCTTCAAGTGGGCTCAGCCTGTGGCAGTCGATACCTGGAGCAAGCATTTCATCCAGGGCACAGACTGGGACCAAGGAGCTTCAGCTTGAAGCAAAGCCAAGCTATAACGCTTGGTAGGCCATCTACACCCCATGCTCCCAAAGTCCCCTATATCCTCCCCAAACAGTGCTGCCAGCTGGGGACCAGGTGTTCAAACACATGATCCTGTCAGGGAGGGGGAGACTTTCACACTCAAACTATAGCAAACATGAACAGTAAAGTGAACTGGGTACTTACTGCATATCAGGCACTGACTGACGAGCACCTTACACATTTACAGATCTAATTCTAAGGTAGGGCCATCCAGATAGCTCAGCAGGTGGGGCATCTGCCACCCTCTGATAACCTGAGTTAGATCTGAAGGACCCGTATGGCAGAGGGAGAGAGTCGTCTCCTGCAGTTTGCCCTCTGACCTCTACACACTAGCCACAGTGCATGTACCCACACACATACACCCACAAGCAATTTTTTTCATAATAACCTCATCAGGCAAGTTCTACTGAAGTAGGCTAAAATGACAGGCGAGCTGAAGGAGAGGGGACACAGGAAAAGAGCCTCCTTTGGGTCTGGCTTAAGTCTCATGTTGGCTAAGAGTCAAGAAGTTCCACACGACTGACCAAACTGCTTACAAAGAACAATACCCCTTTCTCTAAGAAAATCTCAAATTCCAAGTTATGAACCATGTTTATGATCAACATGCATCTCAGCTTCCCTGTGACCTACTATAGTAAGAATTCCTTTGAGCTTATTGGACATATGTTTATATCTTACTCCTTTCTTATTAGGGATGTGTACAATGTACCTTATAGACTATCTTATACTCTCATTTAGGAAAGAAAACTTACTTTGATAAAAATATGTAGGCACTGGGGGATGGTTCAGGTGGCAATGTGCTTGCCACACAAGTGTGAGGACCTGCATTTGGATTCCCAGCATCTGTGTAAAAAGTCAGCCATGGCAGCTTGTGACTATAATCCCAGAACTGAGCCAGCAGAAAGAGGAGAAGCCCTGATGCTTGCTAGTGTTGTCAAATAGGTGAACTGCAGGTTCAGCGTAGACTCTGTCTCAGAAAACAATGTGGCAAGTGATTGATGGCATCACAAGCTCCAGTGGTAGCTTTATGGAATGAATCAGTGACGAGAACCTCAAAGAATTTATATGTGGACTCTCCAACCCTGTAAGAATTCTGGGCTCTCAAAGGCCCCTAGCGGTGCCCAGCCCTCTCCTCAGTAACAGACTGAAGACATCATACACATCAGCTGTTTCATGATGAACAGGCTTACCATAGTTACATACTTAGGAACTGTATGTTTGGGCCCACCAGGGCAGACAAGTCTCCTGCTTGGCCTTGTATTTCAGCCTGCACATGTTATCCCACTGGGTGATGTGGGAAATCCTGCACAGCCCAGAGAACTGGTATTACTGCCAGCAGAAGACCCTCATAAGAAAGTAATATCACATCGACTACTTCCACAGCTCCTGGATGATTTTGTGTGCATGTGTCTTGGCTCACCTGGTGGCTGCAGCCAGACAGAACAGAAAATCAGCCACATTTCCTTTTATGGTGTTACTGT